TCCTGTAAAACCACAACAAATTCCTTGTGTTTGCGCACACTTAAGTGGTGAATAAAGCTCATTCTGATTCTGATTCTAATAAGAAAGCACCCCTACAACAACTTCTGAAAGTGAACGGTATGCGTTTTACTCGAGCATTACATAAAAATGTCATTTTAACATTAATGTAATCATTTTAACATGAATTTAGGAACTGAATAATAAAAAGGAAAAGGCCACCCAGTAATACCTGATTCCTGGCAACAACAGCTGCCTGTTTTTAATCTTAAAATGATATATATTTGTACAGTGCAGGGTCTGTGGTGCTGAATATGACCTTAATGCTGCAGCAGACGGTTTCCATCCTCCAAGCTAATGGAAGATCACAACCCATAATCCTCAGTGCTGTTCCCTCAACAGTGTTTGGTAGTTTTATCATGCCACACCATGATGCTGCAAGCCAAACCCCCTGAGAGGTGCTTAAGTAGATCTTCCAATGTATAAATACCACTTCAAAACCAAAAAAAGGCCCTCAGTCGGCCGTCAAAAGCTCAGACATCAATGGAGTCGAGCATCTGTGGAGTGGCTCAGAAATCGCTGTTTGCATCAGTGCGGTATGAACGTTTTTGTTAAATCACTATCTAGCGACTAGGACAGCTGTGGGCTGTGATATGAAATCACCCTGATGAATGTGTGTGGCATTTGCCGTGATTGCCTCTGATGAAATTTTTAGTTTTGTATTGCCGGAGGCCATAATCCCAGAAATACCAATACGGCTGCATCCATGTGAGAACACTTTGATAAGAAAGCTCATTTGCTGATACTTTTGTCGCCATCATTGTGAGTATAAATATGATGTTTATGTGAAGGCAGGCTGATCAAGAACTAACAGACTTTTCGCTCGGTTGAGTTTGTTCATTTTGCCATCGTTTGACATTTGGCTTATGTCCACTTTAAAAAAAAAAAAAAAAAAAGATCCCTGTTGGCTATGATTTACTAATAAAGACACTTTATCAGGGTATGAAGAAAATGTATGGAATTCATTTCATCTAGATGAAAAACTATTTCACTCCTGGGGGAATGTATAGAGAAAATATATTGAATATGATGTATGTTTTTGGAAACGTTTCATCAGTGCACGTTATTGCAATGACAGAATTGTTTGTAATTTTTCATCAAAATGTAATAACTCGCACTTACCTCTGAAATTACTCTTCTTTTCATCTAACTTTTCCTTGACTGTGTTGGCTATTGGTTAATGTCAACCAATAGATACGTACAGTTGCAGGAAAAAATTATGTAAACCCTTTCTGTGGATTTCTGCATAAATTGGTGATAAAATGTTGTTAGATTAGAGTCGCACCAATAGACAAAGACAGTCTGCTCAAATAACACACAGACGTTGTTTTTACATCTTTATTGAACACACTGTTCAAAAGTTTAGTGTTGGTTAGATTTTTAAAATGTTTTTGAATGAAGTCTTTTCTGCTCACCAAGGCTGCATTTATTTGTTCACAAAATACCATAAAAACAGTAAAAATGTGAAATATTATTACAATTTAAAATAGCTGTTTTCTATGTGAATATCTGTTAAACTGTAATTTATTCCTGTGATGCGCAGCTGTATTTTCAGCATCATTACTGCAGTCTTCAGTGTCACATGATCTTCAGAAATCAGTCTAATATGCTGATTTGCTGCTCAAGAAACATTTCTGATTATTATCAATGTTGAAAACAGTTGTGCTGCACAATATTTTGTGGAAACAATGATACATTTCTTCCCTTTGATGAATAGGAAGAACAGTCTTTACTGTCACTTTGGATTGATTTAATGCATCCTTGAGTGTGCATTAAAAAAAGCAGCTTTTGAATGGTAGTGTATGTGAACCTTTAGATTTAATAAACAGTTGACCGTCCTTTTGACAGCTGTAACCTCCACCAAACGTGTCCTGTAATTGCGGCTCAGACATTTACAGCGGTCAGGAGGAATTTTGCATCCTTTCTTATTAGAACCCTTTGCTTCAGCAATATTCTTTGGATTCGTGGAGTGAATCGCTCGAGGTCTTGCAAAGCCGGGTTGAGGTCAGGACTCTGACTCCAGAAGGTGCATTTTCTTCTGTTGATTGAATCATGTGTTTGGGTTGTTGTCCTGTTGCGTTTCTCAAATTCAGTTGACTTTACTTTCTCCTGATAAATGTCCTGATATATTTTAGAATTCATTATGTGTTCAATAAAGACATGAAATCAAATTTGTTTAACAATTTATGCAGAAATCCAGGTAAATCCTAAGGGATCTCATACTTTTTCCTGCAGCCGTAGCTGAGCTCTTTAAGCATTATTGAGTCTTTCAAACTGCAGTGCAGGAAGCTTTGTGTTTTTGTATGCAATAGTTTGCGCTGTTCACAACCACTGACAGTGGGCTGAACGTAGCTCTAGCAGATTGATGACTGAACACACGCATTACAATTGATGGACGCTTTTTTAAAATTTTTTATAAATAATCTCTCCATCATTACACAGTGCCTTGACAAGTGCTACACATGCACACACACACACACACACAAACACACATCAAAACATCTAACTCTGCATTTGGTTTTACATGTAAAGCAGGCAGTTGAGAGCATTGAGGGCATTGTCTCTAAAATATCTACTTTAAAAAAGCCTTCGATACAATTAATCATAACATATTAATCAATACATTTGAATGGTATGGGATCAGGGGTGTAGTATTGCGCTGGGTGAAAAGTTATTTAAGAGACAGGAAACAATTTGTGAAGTTGGGGGGACATTCATCGTCGTGCTTGAACATTGCTTGCGGCATCCCCCAGGGGACAGTATTGGGTCCAAAATTATTTTTGCTTTCTATAAACGATATTTGTAAAGTATCAAAAATAGTAAAACTAGTTCTATTTGTGGATGATACAAATATTTTTTGTTCTTGGGGGAATTTAAAGGAGCTACTGGAGACCACTAGTTCAGAGATGTGTAAATTAAAAAGGTGGTTTGACAGAAAAAATGAACATTAAACTTTAATAAAACTAAATGCATGTTATTTGGTAACTGTAAAAAGAGTACACAAGTTCAGATACAGATAGATGGTGTGGATATAGAAAGGGTTCATGAAAATAAGTTTATTGGGGTGATAATTGATGACAAAATAAGCTGTTCAAAAAATGATTTTGGTCTATATAGCTAATTTTGCCCTTCATGACAACTGTGAGGGGGGTGAATTTTTTTATAACTCATCCGTTTAAATTATATTAAGCCTTAAAGTTCTGCATAATTAAGGGCGTGGCCACTTGAGTGACAGGTGGATTGCCGCTGCTGTCACCACCGTCGAGCTCCCGCCTCTTTGTCCATTTTCGATTATCCGGGAGTGACGCGCGGTGACGCGCTGCCAAGATGGCGACGGCTGGCTCCGCCTACTTTAGGCTTCAAAACGCTCGTCGGAAGTCTACGGGTGACGTCACGGACACTACGTCCATGTTTTTATACAGTCTATGGTTAAGGTGTACTAGTGCCACCTGCTTTGTTGGAGTGTGAACTGGCCCTGGGTTATTTACAATATTAGTGTATGTGTAGTATTAACACAATATCAATATTTAAAGCAACTCTATGTAAGTTTTTTTTTTTAAATCTTGAAATATTAGTTTCAAAATTATTCTGATGGTACGCTGACTTCTGTTAAGACAAATGGCTTTTGTTTCTTTTCTACTTTCCCCCCAAATGTCTGGGAATGTGTAGGTTTGATGAGCAGATACGAAATTACGCAAAAAGGGTGGATTGCTTTACGGCAGCAACAGATACATGTGTGAGCTTTCCAGTGGTCAGGTCAGCCTTCAATGATGCATTGGCCGATATTTGGCATTTCTTAAATATTGGCATCGGCTGATAGGTTTTTCTATTTGGCCGATGTGTCAGAATCCGAATCAGGACTATAGAAACCCATTTCCGCCAAGGTAATTGTGACGTTTCTCTCACAATTCAGACTTTATTTCTCACCATTGGGAGTTTACATCACAGAATTGCAAGGAAAGTAGTCAGAATTGTGAGATAAAAAGTTGCAATTACCTTTTCTATTTTTGTGGCAGAAACGGGCTTCAATATACAAGACTTTTATTCCAATTCTCGGTCTACGTTACTTTGCTCTCTCTGTTTAACAATTCTGTCAAATAAATTATTAGACAGAACTGTTAAACAAAGAAAGTAAACGGTGTGCGAAAGATTACTTTTCTCATCTGTTGTCAGTATTCAGCAAATGTGCATTTATATAACTTAAGTCTTTGAACATCTAATAAACATTTAATTCAACTAACCTTGCAAACTTTCAATTACTTCCTTTTTATCAATTTCTTTATTTGTGAAAAATATTATAATGGGATTACAGAATCAAGAATTAGTTTTTTAATCAAGTTCAAATTGTTTGTTAACATTTATTTTCAAATTATTATATGAATATATAAATATTATGTAACAAGTATAAATTTAATTTCAGCAGTTGGTATGTACGCATGTGTTTTAAATTAAATAGTGTGATACCATATTTATTGGCTTTACATTGACTATTGTCCACTCTGCTCTCTCTGAGATATTGGCATCGGTCATCAGAAAATCAATATCGGTCGACCGCTAAATATATATCGGTCAATCCACTGATATATTTACGACAGTAAAATCCACTCACTTAAATGTAGGAGGCTCACAAAAATACACAAAATTACATAGAGTTGCTTTCATTTTTTAAATATCACATTTATCCGTCAGTTCTAGTATATTGCGACTCTGCTACTATGTGTGTTATATGGACAACTTTGGCCTGTTTTTCATTACTCTTTGATTATTACCCTGATGCAAAAGTGGCAAACTCAAAACAAAAGGCCAGCTCTATGAAAGAAACGCTCGGAAAGCACGTCTCTCTGCACTTCCTGCTGATGACTGTAATTATCTTAATAAGTTCACACAGCTATTTGCGAGCTGCGGCTGGCTTGACCAGAGTTCAGCACTCACGCTGCACATTTAATATGTGTATCAGTGAGCAGGAGAGGAAGGGCTTTGTTCTGTCATCAGTTCCCACTGCATCACTCCAAAGGCCAGCGGACCGGTCCTGCACATACGCATAGACTGCATACATAACCAAAAATCAAAAATGATATTGATTTCAGTGAAGGATGAAAATCGTTCATGTGTCCAGAATGATTGGTTTGGTGGGTGGGCTGTGTGAATAATGTGTGATTCAGTTGTGTTGAAGTCACTGTTTTTGTTCTGTCTCCTGCAGGCGTTCACTGCACGCATGGCTTCAACCGCACCGGCTTTTTAATATGTGCCTACCTGGTGGAGAAAATGGACTGGAGGTTAGATAACACACATGAGCACTCACCCAATCAGCACATGTAGATGGGCACAAAATCAGCTTTTTTTTTTGCCCACCAGCCATGGAAAATGTCAAATCAAGTTACCAGAAATGGCCCTCTTTGCACAGGCAATTCATTGCTTAAAATATCACTTATTAAAAAAATAACTAAAGTATTCAACAGGCTAATTCATACCTGTAACGTCATTAAAAAACAGGTTCATGAGTCATTTGTTTGTGATGTTTTTCTATGCATTCCACAAAGACTACATGATAGAAAGGCTAAGCACCTATTGTATCTGTTAGTTTTCTAGAAGTAGTCTTCTTCTTCTACTTCTTCCACTTGGGAAGCCCATTGAACCACTTGCGGGAAAGTTATAAAATTTGGCACACAGATAGAGGACAGTCTCAATATTAACCATAGCAAATTTGGAGTCTCTATCGCAAACTCTGGCATGTTAACAAATTTGATGAAATTCGCTCAAAAATGGACATGAGGCTATCTCTTCGCAACGCTTTAGCAGATTCTGACCAAACTTGGTACCTGTTACACAAAGCATGACCTGATGGCACATGAGGAGTTTCACCACGTCAGCACCTACTGGTCAAAAGATATAAAAAATGTACAATTCTGCTTATAACTTCTGTGAACTTTTGGCCAGTTTGGCCAAAATCATCAGATTGGCCTCGTTAGATTCGGAACGGCATACCGAGTCGAACGATTCCTAATTTACCTCTGTCTGCCTTTTTGGGCGTCGGCCATTTTAAGTTTTGTCGTAAAATGCTATATCAACAAATGTCTTTAACAGGGGTCACCAACCCTGCTGGAGAAAAACAAAGTCACCTACAACTTGGATGCCCTGGGGGTAAGCAGATAAACATCACATTTTCATTTTTGGGTGAACTAGCCCTTTAAGTCTGCAGGACGGTAACTCTTCAGGAGCAGGGTTGGAGAACCCTGGTCTTTACTGAGTAATTAAAGACAGCTCTTCATTTTCCCTCTGTTGTGCTTGTTGCAGCTATATTTTTAAAACAGTTTTTTTATATAATCACATTTAATTCAGACTGCTCATAAATTAAAAATATAATTTCCTTGTGTTTAAGCAACTAAATTTAAGGGAAGATGAGCAAAATAATCTGCCACTGCTTAAAAATACCCACATTTGACTGGTGGCAGATGTAAATTTCAACATGAACTTAGTAATGATATTATATTATTATTATTTTTTTTTAAGGAATCAATTCTTTTATTCAGCAAGCATGCATTAAATTGATCAAAAGTGACAGTAAAGATCTCTATAAGCTTACAAAAGATTTTTATTTTAAATAAAGGCTGTTCTTTTGACGTTTTCTTTTTTATTCATCAAAGAATCCTGCAAACAATGTATCATGGTTTCCACATTGTTTTCAACATTGATAATAATCAGAAATGTTTCTTGAGCAGCAAGTCAGCATCTTAGACTGCTGAAAATTCAGCTTTACATCACAGCAATAATTTACTGTACATTTTAACATATATTCACATAGAAAACAGTTCATATAAATTGTAATAATATTTCACAATGTTACAATTTTTACTGTATTTTAATCAAATAAATGCAGCCTTAGTAAGCAGAAGAGTCTTCTTTCAAAAACATTTAAAAATCAATAATGATTTAAAAATAGAGCTGTAACCTCTGTACACAAAGCAGTGGGCTTATAAACACTGTTTTAATAGGCATTGCACAGAAGGAAGATCAAAAGCAAATGTCATTTAAACTTTTCTGAAGATAGTCGGTTCCCCCTTATGCATTCATAGAATTAATTTATTCATACATTCTTTCATGTAATTTATCTCTCAGCACTCATGTCGTCACACAAATCAAATCCTACGCCTGCATGAGACTCTTACTAACTTTGCTTAATGCTGAGCAGTATTTACAGCAAGTTTTTCAAATCGTGATAATCAAATACGGTTTTAATGATCATTTAAACATGAAAGGGTAATACTAACCATCTGGATGTTTATCGTCAAACTGGTAACCAATTCATCCCTATGCTTGACACTTTTTTTGTCATGATCTGAGTGCCCAAAAAACCCATGCTGAATGATCACTATGTCGTAATTACAACGGGAAACTCTGAATTTACTCAGTGGGAGGCTTGTCATTTAAAGAATCGTGGTGGAAGATATGAAAATATACTTTTCTTTAGTCAGGTTATATGTGACCAACTTACCCATCATTCTCTGTGGCAAACACGATAATGACAGAAAGCACTAATAAAAACATGTAAAACATCACACACCATTTTGTTGTTCTGGTGATCAAATGTTTCCTGTCTTTGTCTATAACTGAAGAAAGAAATGTGACAATCAGAGTCACTCTTACAGCATTAGGTATACAGCGCCCCCTGGCGGTTCTAGTGTAAAAAAAAGCTTGCTCTAATCTTTTTCTATTCTATCTGTTTTCTTTTTATTTATTATATAATTAAAAACAACAACAACAAAAAAAAACCTTGCAATGTGTACTGCGTTAAGCTAACTGAGACTTGTTATATAGCATTTGAGTATCATTGCTCTCTTGTTGATTTTGATTGCTTCCATTGTCCTTATTTGTAAGTCGCTTTGGATAAAAACACTGATAATAATCATCATGTTTCTTGAGCAGCAAATCAGCATATTAGAATGCTTTCTGAAGATCATGTGACACTGAAGACTGGAGTAATGATGCTGAAAATTCAGCTTTGATCACAGGAATAAATTACATTTTAACATATGATAATGTTTACAAAAATAGTGTATATTGTATAGAATATTACACAATATTACAGTTATATAAATATTATTATTTCGCAATATTACCGTTTTTTTTCTGTACTGATTAGTTTTTATCTTTGATCAAATAAATGCAGCCTTGGTGAACAAGAGACTTTTCAAAAAATCTTATCAACCCCAAACTTACGGTAGTGTACATAGTTCTGTTACATATTTGGGCATTTATGTGCTGTTAATTGAAGTAAAAAAGCATGTTTCGTCAGGTGTGTGTGAAGACCAGTATGTTGAGGTCAGTCTGAAGACTTCAGGCTTCTGCTCCAGATGAGTCTTAATTGTGTTTTAGATCACTGTGTTTGCTGTTCCTGGTGTCTGTTCGGACTTTCTCACTGGAGTTTTTAGTGCATCTGAGTGAAGCTAAAAGGTGTTAAGAAGAAATCAAATTGATTGGTTTTGAGTTTATCTCATCGCAGCTCTGTTCTGGAAGGGTTGTGAACAGCACTGAATATATGCTAAATGCAAATAATAAAATACAACTAACCAGTCAATCGTGCAAAGTTAGGATATAGCTAAATACACAATGCCAGCATGGATAGGTTGGATAAAATGCCTTCATCCTCAAACATCATGAACAGAACCGTTAAACAAAAAACAAAAGTGAACAAAAGTTAAAGAAAACATGACTCCGTCCGAATGCATTAAATACAGGTTGACTTGCATATGATCATATGATCTGTTCTGCTGTTTAGCCTTATGTCAAATTAATGTAATGCATGGAAATATTATTTCAGTGTTTGAGTTTTAGGACATTTTTTATTTTATTTTTGTATGATAATCAATAATGGTACTGTTTTGGGTCGTCACTGGGTCCATATATTTTGGTCCTGAAGCTGTGTAACAGCCTATAAGAGCTTGAGTTTGTAAATCCAACCTCTTCCACACCTGCTTTGGCTAATCGATACTTCATTATATTCAGCCAAGCATGTTAGAAAAGACATTGTATTATAATAGCCTATTACACCACCCAAATATGTATTTACTTCCTTCTAATTCTCGTTGTCAGTGCAGGCTTGTTTAGCTTAATATTGACCGTTATGAAAAGTGACTAGTGTAGCCTGCATAAAAAAGGCTTGAACATAAAACAACAGGACAAAAATATAGTTGATGACTAGACATAATAATTTTATGACTCTAGACACTTCTTTGTGAAGACAGTAGCATAATACAGTGAAATAATATGTTCTTTAGTCATTCAAAAACAGCTGTCATGTGCATGGGTAAAATTTACTCGCTGGCACTTTTAGGTATACAGCGCCCCCTGGCGGTTCTAGTGTAAAAAAATCATTATATTCAGCCAAGCATGTTAGAAAAGACTGGGTTGTATTGAGGAGAGGTTTTAATTGTTTTATTGTAAATCTTTCACTATACTTTAGTTTTTATTTTGATGCCATGTGGTTGTTAGTGAAGACATACTGCTGTAGCTTAAAGCAATTCATCTGTCATTTTTATGGTGACTTGGCTAGGACATATCGTATCATATTATGCGACCGAGGCAGATTTCTTCAGTTTTCTTTTGTGGTGATGCCATGAATATAAACATGATATCTGGCAGCAAGGTCATCTGTCTTATCTCATAATTACTCATGCATTAATAATGTTTATTCAGTAGACTTTGAGCTTTATTATAAGCGGGGGATTCTACACTAACTTGTATAAAAATGAGGTGTCTAAAATCCTATTGAGATTTGAGCACTATTCAATGGTTCTTTTTTATTTTGCTGTTGTTCTTCAATACATTTCAGAGCTCAGTGATATTTATCACTGTTTAAAAATGCATATTTTAAATGGGCTTTTTAAATTGTTTAAATTCTTGAATATTTGTACAAAATGTAAATAAATTTTGTTATTTATATTAAATTATGTATAATTCACAGTTAAGATTTTTTAAGTTTTAAAGATGTGTTTCAAAGAAGTTTCTTATGCTCACCAATTTGACCATAAGAATTTATTTAATCAAAAATAAAAAAAACAGTAATATTGAGAAATATATTACAATTTAAAATAACCTAAAACTTGTTTTATGTGAACATACAGTAAACTGTAATTGATTGCTGTGATCAAAGCTGAATTTTCAGTGTCACATGATCTTCAGAAATCAGTCTAATATGCTGATTTGCTGCTCAAGAAACACTTCTGATTATTATCAATGCTGCTTCATATTTCTGTGAAAACCATGATAAAAATGTTTAGGATTCTAAAACCAAATTGGAAATCTTTTGTAACATTATAAATGTATTTGTTACTTGATCAATTTAATGCATGCTTGTGAATACAAGTATTGTATAAAATGTACTGACCTCAAACTAAGTAATTATAAAAGAAGTACACATGAACTACAGAAATATGTAATATGGTTTAGAAAATAAAATAAGTCAAAATAGTTTTACAAATAAATACATTTACATTTAGTCATTTAGCAGATGCTTTTATCCAAAGCGACTTACAAATGAGGACAACAGAAGCAATCAAAATCAACAAAAGAGCAATACATGTAAACATGTAAATATTAATCATTAAGTGCCATGTTAATACCACCGATTCATTTACATAGTTCCATAATTCCATTATGGAAATTCCATAATTTCCATCTATTCTCATTTCAATTTCAAAACTCTTGGTCAACAATCCATAATAATTGCTCAAAAAGTTCACAGAAGTCTCATTATTAAAATAAATAAATAAATATTACATTTTAGTGAAAACCTAGTGGAAATATCTTCATACCACAATTACATTTAACACCACATTTTTCATACAAAGTATCTACTTTTTAATAATGGCTTTTGGGTTCAAATGATGGTTTCTGGAAATAAATGAACATTTTTAATTTTTAAATACAAATATTTTCAAATGTCAAACATTAAAAAAGATAATAGTTTTAATTTCTTTACCTTTTAATTAATTCATTTTTTTAATTGAATTAATCAAGAAATTAGATACACATCAAATCAGTATTTTAATCATTTTTTATGAAAATTTTTCTTTAAACATATTTTATATTGCACTCATTCTGGTCAGTAAACCCAGGGTTGGAGATATATTTACAAATCGCTCTTTCTGACAGCTGAAGAATGCAGTGTATCCTGAATTCACAGCGTGAGTGATTGTGTGTTTTGTGGTGTCAGTATCGAGGCCTCTGTGGCAGCGTTCGCTCAGGCTCGGCCCCCGGGAATCTATAAAGCTGACTATCTGAAGGAGCTCTTCCGCCGCTACGGGGATGTGGAGGACGCGCCACCCGCCCCTGCTCTCCCCGAATGGTGCTTCGATGATGAGGAGGACGAAGATGTGGATGATGATGATGGGAATGCCATCGCTCAGGGCTCCGAGCCCAGCTCCTCTCACTCCAGTCAGGGCAAGAAGAAGAAAGAACGACTAAAACTGGTGATTAAAACTCGTTTCAGCACATTCTTTCGTAGTCTGGTTTAATACAGCTCATTAAGAAGGCTCATAACTGACTGTGTATCAGCTCGATGTAACCTGGACTGTTCTATTTAGTGTTTTGGGTATCAACTTCCTCTCCATTTGAAATGTTAGTGTGCAGATGTGATGGGTGTTTGTTTGCTTGCTTGTGTCTCAGCACGCTATGTTTCTGGAGGGAGTGTCTGTCAAAGGAGTCACTCAAGTCACGTCACAGCCCAAGCTCGGCATGATCCAGAGGAAATGTCAGGAGTTCTCTGAGTGGGACAAGTGAGTCTCTCTGTGTGTGTGTGTGTGTGTGTGTGTGTGTGTGTGTTTTACCACCCACAGACTCTTTCCAGCTCTGAGCCCATGTGACTGATATGTCAAGTAATTGAAAATGTTGAGATTGTGAGGACAGTAAATGTGTGTGTGGCACAAATAAGAATTAACTTCTGATGTATTTATTTAATAAAAAATGGCTCAATGAAATATCATGCTTAACTTTCAGCAAATGCCGCTTGTCAACCTCAGGATGTCAAACTAAATATTATATGAGCTGTTTTATTTTATGGATTTTATATGAGGTTTGAATTTTGCAACCCTGTTACCAAATTTGAAGATTTTCTAGCAATAAGCATTAAATAAACATATACTCTAAATGAAATAACATTCAGAAGATAAAAAAGAATAAAGTAAATATAAATAAAAATAAATGTAATAAACAAATAAATGAATAAATAGAAATCATATTTAAATACTACGTAATGGGTAACAGGGTTGCATATTTTAGCCTTAAGTAAGATATCAAATCATCATGACTCAGTAGGGGCTTGCTAGTTTGGGACTGAATGTTATTGACAAAGTTTTTGTAATTACTGATAACATTTCCCATAAATGAGTTTGATCATATTCAATTACTTTGGCAACAGAGTTGAATGATTGAGCTTAAATCACAGACAAAGATTTATGTATACTACCTTCAATGCATTAATACAATGTAAAACTAATTAATAATAATAAAAAAAAAAAAACATAGGTCTGGGACTGTGTTCTCTCCTGTGAGCTTGCGGCTGGTTGTAAGAAACTGGCAGGTTGAAGTGGACTAAATGATCATCAGACAGAAAAAAAATCATTTTTTTTTCACCAGAAGATGAGTGATATTTTTACATTAAAGAAACTCATGCATGGATGAATTGTAAATCAATAACATGCTTTTAGAAAATAGATGCCTTTTCATTTCATGCTGAATATAACATGATCCAAAGAACATGGTATCTGTGCCCTGAAGTGCCTAATAAGTAATGGAAAACATTTTGTGCTCTATTAATGGAAAGTGCTGAATTCTGTCGTGAGTTATTATCCTGATGAAACAGCAGCCATAATTACTTTCATTGATGAGTGGAGATCAATTAAAACGACACAGCAATGTGTCCAATAATCACATTTGTTTTTTTTTAATGTGCTTGTCTTTACGCGTCTGTCAGATCGGGGTTTCCTGGTGCTCAGCCCGTATCGATGGACCGCAGGAACATCCGTCTGTTGGAGCAGAACGTTTATAAAGTCAGCTGGAAAGCAGACGGCACGCGGTGAGTCCAGCGACTGCAGCTCAGGGAACTGAAGTAGTGTGCCGTTCACATGCTACTAGCTACACATGCTTGATTTCATTGTTGTGTTCTGAAATGTGTCAAAACCAGTGTTGTATCTCACTATAAAAACAAAGATAGCTTAAAAAGGGATATTAAAATGATAACTTTTTCTAAATATTTTTATAGCCATATTGTAGTGATTTATTTCCCAAGGCCCTGAAGTATTTGTCTGAAGTAAAATTTACTATTTTACTATAGTTTACTATTTTTGACTTTTTTCCACCTTCTCTCTAACTCTTCTAATTAAACACTACTTTTGCTGTTGTACTTTTCTACATGCAAATGAAGTGCATGAATTTGTTGATTACTGAATAGATGGTATGTAAACGTGAGAGGTCATATGTTAATGAGATCATGGTTGTGTTGTCAAGTCTCATTTAACCTTTAAGTTGTTTTTGCAGCTTAGATTAACTAATGATTTCATTTGGAGATTTAAGTTTTTAGTTTTTAGTTACGATATTTACAAAGTTTGAGGTCAGTAAGACGTTTTTCAAAGAAATTAATACTTTTATTCAACAAGGAAGTATTAAATTGATCAAAAGTGACAATAATGAAGTTTAGAATGTTGCAAAAGATTCTTATTTCAAATTAATGCTGTTCTTTTGGACTTTGTATTCATCCTGGAAAAATGTATCACGGTTGCCACTAAACTATTCGGCAGCACAACTGTTTTCAGCAGCAAATCAGCATATTGGAATGATTTCTGAAGGATCATGTGAAGACTGGAGTAATGATGCTGAAAATTCAGCTTTGATCACAGGAATAAATTGCATTTTACTATATATTCAATTAGAATTGTAAACATTATTTCACAATATTTCTGTTTTTACTGTATTTTTGATCAAATAAATGCAGCCTTGGTAAACATAAGACTTATTCAAAAACAAAAAAATCTTACCCACACCAAACTTTGGACCTAGTGTTTTTATTATTAATTTCTATTATTATTTTAAGGTTTTTGTTTGGACCAACTAAAGAACGTTTCATGTAGATGGCTGCACTTTTATATGCAAAAAAATCCTAAAAAATGACCCCTACTTAATAAGAATAACATTCTGAAGTGTTGTGAATCTGGCAGTAAGTTTTAGGAGCTCATTTTTGTTAGTTTCTGCAAGACACACTTCTCAGGATAGGAGATGGACTAAAAATGAACTCCCAAAACTTACTGCACCATGGAGCTAAGGAGAAAATGTAGAACTTGAGAAAATGGAAAAACAGCTTAGTGAAAAGTGTTTACAGTTTAAAAGCAAATAGAAAGTCCTATTTTTTTTAAATTCCTTTTCTTAATATTTTTTTGCAGATTTGCACATGTACAAGGTTTGAAATGTTCATGAAATATTTTCAAAAAATACTGACTTTTTGAGCAGCTGCATTCCTCTAGGTCAAAGATGAAAAAATGGGATTTACAATAAAGTAACAAAATTATTTTGACTTGAGTTTATTTATTAATGAGTAACGTATCTTTTGAGTGAATGTGCAAATTTGTAATGTTATCAGCTTTTACCATGTTACAACATTTAACCACTTTTTATAAATTTAAAAATTGAGAAATTCTTTCAAATTTAAATCTTGTACAAAAACTACAGCAAAAATCAGTTTGATGCATATTTTATCAATATTTGAGAAATTTAATTTGAATATTACCAGTACTGACTTCAATGGATTTCATTAAATTCCTTTGAACACAACTGCTCAAAACGGTCTAAATTTATGAAACCTACACATTCAAAACATTATTACTCTGAAATGTTTAATGTAAATGTTAAGTGTAAGTGAAATGTTAAGTACTGTAAGGTCTTTCATGACACCACATATTCTGGGGTGTGAATTTGATAGGTGCTTGATATAAAATAAATGGTGCTTGAAAAAGTCCTTGAAAGTCCTTGAATCTGGTGTTCATGAAAGAGTGGGAACCCTGTATATGCTGTAAGCCTGGAGAGCTACCATCCTGCAGATTTCAGCTCCAACCCCAGTCAAACACACCTGAAGCAGCTAATCAAGGTGTTCAGGTTACTTCATAATTACAGGCAGGTGTGTTGCAGCAGGGTTGGAATTGAAGTTTGATGGATGGTAGCTCTCCAGGAGCAGCGTTGGAGATCCTTGCTGTAAACACTTTACATGCATTACATTTACATGCCTTAATGGCACATACAAACACGTCAAGTTGATTACAGTGCCTTTTTAGGAGGACCATACCCAGATGTGTAGATCATAGTGAACGGTGATAGGTTGTTGTGTGTGTTATTCAGACACTTTTCTCCTGTCTAATGCACCGAAAGCCAGAAGTCAGGCTTAGACGAGATTAATTAAATCTGACTGTCTATAACTGGTTTAGTTTCTTTTTGGCTCCTTTTTTATCTTTTAATTAACAAGAGTTTAGTTTTAGTTGACACTAATAACATTAATGCTTACGTAATATATGAAATGTTTTTTTTTTTTTTAAAGATTATTCTTTTGATGATCTTCAAATGATCTTCAGTGTAATTTTGTGCTGTTTCTATAATGTTGGAGTCTAGTGCTCACAGAGGGCCATTTAATGATGGTCCAGGTCATTTTATGGCAGCTCTGCATGAGCTTGTCTGCTGTAATGATGTGAACTATCTCTGTGCGCTCCTGCTGGCTCATGTGCTCAAGCCAGAATCAAACGTCTGCATGAACATCATTAGACACTCCTCCATAAGACAGATCTGCTCAGAAGCACCACAGCGAATTAGCTGGTTTGGTGTGTCATAGTGATCCAAATTTAGTTGAAAGTCGAGCAGAACAGCCACGGCGCTCTGACAGAAGAATGCTCGGCTCCATCACTGAGACGTTAAAAAGATGTCGCTGATCACTTTAACTGGAGATCTATTCTAACAAGCCCATTATCCTGTGCTTTGGCCACTCAGGGCTTACAGAGAATCACTGTGTGATGCGTTTGCTGGGGGGGCGTCCAGCAGAGCGCTCTGTAATAATGACCAAACGGGAGGGAATTAAAGTCAAGTCAAGTCACCTTTATTTGTATAGCGCTTTATACAATACTGGTTGTGTCAAAGCAGCTTTACAGTGTCAAACAGGAAAATAGTTTGTCAATAATGCAAGAAGACAGTAACATACAGTCAGTTTTTCAGTTAAAGTCAGTTCATTGATTCAGTGATTCATCATCCAGTTCAGCTCTCTTCCAATAGTGTCTGTGCAATCAGTCAAGCGTCCCCAACGAAGCAAGCCAAAGGCAACAGTGGCAAGGAACCAAAACTCCATCGGTGACAGAAATGGAGAAAAAACCTTGGGAGAAACCAGGCTCAGTTGGGGAGCCAGTTCTCCTCTGGCCAGACGAAACCATCATGGTGTGGTTTAATTCCAGCCTGCGATACAGGTGTAGATGTCTTGTCTGGTTCCCGTGGTCTTGTGCTGATGGTCATCGAGGTGACGAGGTCTTTGCAGGGGATCTGTCTCTGGGACGCATCTAGTTGACACGGTCTCTGCTGATAATCAGGGCTGTAGAGTTTGTCTCTAGGTCTGGACTGGATACAGACTGGATTTGGGTGGCTACAGTGACCTCGGAATAAGAATGAAATAGACTAATATTAGCATAGATGCCATTCTTCTTACGATGTAGCGAGTACATTGGGTGTTATGGGAAGTGTTCCCGGTTCCGGTTGACCTAATTAATGCAGCCTAACAATCCTTTAATGAATTTGTATTATAGAAATGTGATAGTGTGTTATGTGTATGCCAGGTTAAAGAGATGGGTCTTTAATCTAGATTTAAACTGACAGAGTGTGTTTGCCTCCCGAACAATGTTTGGTAGATTGTTCCCGAGTTTGGGCGCTAAATAGGAAAAAGGTTCTGCTGCCCACAGTTGATTTTGATATTCTAGGTATTATCAAATGGCCAAATTTTGCAGCGGACATGAAGGACAATAATGTATTGAGGAGCTAAATCATTCAGGGCTTTATAATTAATTAGCAAGATTTTAAAATGTATTCT